ATCAGTATTGTATTTCGTCTATAGCAGAGTCTTTTATTTCAAAAATAGAATTTCTATCCTTAAATCTCTATTCTTCATATTCTACAACTTTTGATATATCCCACTATTGGTATTGGTATTGGTTTCCATTTCTGTTACTTTTAGTTAGTTTGTTAGTAATGTAAAAGGTATTGAATTGGTGTTCTTTGTTTTGCAGTTTACTGCGATTGCCTTTGAAACACACTAGTACTTAGGAAATAATAATTGTGTTAATTGTGTGTAGATAGTTTCTAGTGAGTGTCCGCCGCTCTCAAGTATCACTCATGTATTGCAACCCGTTTCAGAAGAGCTTAGCTTTCCTCTTCAATCCATCGTTCCGTCGTTTGTCCTGCCTTGGATTATGCTTTTCTTATTTCTGCATCTGGGTATATTATTTACACTTAATAGACAGACTCTAGAGGTAAAATCATCTCCTGCGAATTCTGTCCCGACATTCTGTTGCTCCATCGTTTCCTGCATATGTTACGTTGTATCGTCAGTGTTCAGGGGTTTGCGCACTTGTGGAAATTTTACATATAGTTGAGGCTCGTTCTTGATATGAATCATATATATATATAAACATTTTTGGTGTTTCTCTTGATGTCTTCTCTGCCGCCTTCAGTTGTATGCATTATCTTCTGGCCTCCTTCTCCTGCAAATAGATGCGCTGACTCAGCGACTTGGCGTAGATCCAGTTTTCGCCCACGGGCTTGAAGTGCTGATCGTTAGGGGTACACATACACTCTGTCAGATATTGGCCAGGTATTGAATGGGGGTTTAATTTGATTACCTTGTGCTCCCAGGCCAGGTCGTATTCTTTGCGCATCTTGACTTGATCCCTCTGCTGTTGTTCCACAACAAATTTGGCATTGGTGGCACGTTCAATGTCGTTAAATCTGTGGGAAGAGCATAAAACGCAAACAGAGAGAGAGAGAGAGAGAGTGGTGATTATTTGGTGTCCGTATTGCGGGGTTAATTGATTGATTGGGATATTGGTGATCTGATTACTTGAGTCCCGCTGTCACTTCCTTCCAAACGCGTCGCGATTCGTATTCATCCTGCTCAACGATTGGTCGAACTTGTTTCTTAAATATTGGTATGCGATTTACGTCAACGAATACTTCGGTTTTCTAGAAAATTCAAGAGGCACACATACACGGGTCACTAGGCGATCAACAGCAATACTCAGAGCAGCTCTGATACTCAACACACAACATATATGTATAATATGTTATACAGGTACACATAAACAGTTTGAAAAGTTCAACAATTTGGACAGACAGGCAGAGGAGTAGTAGCTAAACGAGCACATGGTTAAGTTTATATTGTGGTTGGATTGGATAGTTGGTAGTATTAATTTTCTAGATAAACAAAGTAAATACACAGGAAATGCACCCAAACTATTTAAGAGAAAAGCAGAAGAACCGTGAAAAGTAAGTAGAGGTACAGGGTGGTAGAGGTTAATGTAGAGGGTGTAGAGGATTTGGCTGCCAACTCGTGTGGTTGTTTCTTGCAGCGTTTTGGGCGCAGTGTAGGCATAAAGGGGGGATAAGTATATAAATAGGTTTCAACATTTACAAAAACAGTATGAGATAGTACAGTAAATACACGACTACATACACGACAACACAGGCAACAAGAGGCAACGGACAACTTACATTCTTATCATGCCATTTGGCCTCCATCAGGCCGCTCCACTCGCCGGCTATGGACACAAAAGGTTTCTTATCGTTGGGCGCGTAGACCTGCGAATAATCTCAATCAATAAGTGTCCAACTTAAGCCACAGGCAGTCAGCAAACCTCTGCGGAGACCTTGTTGCGCTTGCCGCCATAGAAGGGCTTCGTGAGGAACTCCACGTTGGCATGGTAGCCCGTCTGTGGACATTTGATTTCCACCGAGCCGCCCAGCTCAATCCAAGGCACCGTTAATATAGATCTACGGGAGCAAAATACTTCATTGAAGAACAGGAAGGCAGGGAGAAGTCTGATCTAAACACTTGCCTCCCGTAGCCATTGGGGAAGGTTACAATATACTCCTCGCTGCGGTCCACCAGGGTGACGACGCCCTCGCCGATGTTGTGCACGCCGATGGAGAGGCCCAAGAACTTTGACTTTGTCCAGACGTGGGCCGCAAAAGTGATTTTCTTATTATAATGCTCAGCATAGAAGGCCGAAACTGCAAAGGACAGAAGGAGACGGTGCATTCGGTTAACGGCATTCATTTGTGGTGCATTTGGTTTTCTTACTTGGCGGATGATGGGACACCTGCTCCGCTAAGAAGGTTAGCTGATCCCGCCGGCACCAGGGCACTGGGCCGTCGTGCACCTCGTTAGTGTCCTGAACTTCGTCTAAAAAATATGTCCCCAGTCCATTAGAGAGTATTGATTGTGGCTTCTGGCTACTTACCAGGAAGATCCCAGTGACATTGAAAGACTTCACCCAGTATGGGATTGTAGGGCTTCTTGGCCACCGCACTCTTGCGTCCGGCGTGGTAGGCACTCAGATACCAGCGGCAGACCTGGACAATTCGATCGCGTGGGTCGTCCAGCTCCGAGATTCTGTGGGTTAAGCGCATCACTCAGTTGCTGATTTTTTTGGAAAGACATCCGCACACTCACTTTATAAACAAATCGGGATGGGCAAAGTAGTCGGCATACATCTCCAACAGAGAGCGACGCTCCAAGATGAAGGTGGGCAGGACCACCTTGGTGAGGTCCATGCCAATCTTTACCTGCGACAACAGATGGGTGATCATCGAGCCATGCGCCTCCATGCTGAGGTCATTCTCCTCCTCCTCTTCGTACAGTGCGTCATAGTCAATGCCATTGTCGTAGCTGTCGCTGCGAGAGCTCATCGAGTTCTTGGCCGACTTGGTTGCCCTGCTCGCCACCGCATCCCCATCCGCAGCGCTCTCCTCTATTTCCGGCAGTGTCCTGGTAACCGTCTCAGTCGGCGGCCCAGTGGCCTCCCCGTCGTGGGTGGGTGATGTGGGCTCTGCGAAGCCCCGCGTGGCGCTGCAAAGTGAAGTCGAATCAGAACTTGTTGATTAAGATTCGTGCGGCGCTTGGGCATAAATTATGCGCTGACATAAATCCTCCAGCATGATGTCAGGGCTGGCGTCACTTGGGAGATGACAGCCTCCTGCCGCTCCTCCTCCACTGTTGCTTGCTTCATTTATAATTTATAAAACGGAACACTTACAGCGACCTAGCACACACAAACATTACCAACCATCCACACAGATACGCACACACACATACACAGCTGTAATTGGTGGCACATGCAGGTGGGATGGCTCTTTGCTCACCTCAGACTCACGCGTCGGACCCACTTCTTAAACATGGCGTGGGAGGGAGGGACACTCCTGCTGCTGCTGTTCAAGCTTTAGTGCACCAGACGGCGTACAGCTTCGCAGTGCATCCTCCTGCGGAGGCAACGAATCGAATGGAAAACAAACGGAAACAAAAGGAAGGAAAGCCGCTGCTATTTTGTGCGTTGCCTAGGCCATTTCGGCCATTGCTGAAAAATCTATTGAAAATTCCAGTCGTCGAGAGGGTTTAAGAGTATGAACGGTGGTGCACTTCACCACGCGCTGCGAGTCGATGACGAACGCAACTACAACTGACAGGACGATACACGGACACAGATACAGCTACAGTCACAGTCACAGTCACGGACACAAACAGAAGACGACGAAGGCAACGTCGCGCGACAAGCCACCACGAAAACGAAGACGAAAGCTTGGACGCGTCAGCTGTGTCGCCACGAAGGGGTCTACTGTCGTGGAGCAGGAGGGCAAGCAGGGTCGGTGGGGAAATTGTATTTATTATTTACACGCGACATGGCCAAAATTACAGACCTCCGGAACTGCTGCAACTGCGACGAACTTTCAAAGGGTACGTCAGGCATTGCATTCGGCAGGGGCTCCCCAGGCGCATGCGTCCAACTGGAACAGCAGGAGGAGGAGGTGGCTCGTGACGCTTGAGGGGGGCAAGAGGAGTATCGGCATATGTACGTATATTGCGGTGGGGGAAGAGGAGGCGAGGCAATGGTTCAATGGCAGCCCAATGAATGCGTAATTTGCGTACGCATCATGCTAACCGGCTGCCGCATCACCTCACATCCTGACCGCTGATGGATGGCATTTCTAGAGGCTGTCGTCAGCAGTTTCATCCTGCTGTAGGAGGGACTCTTCTACTCACCAGCCAATCGGAGAGCTGCCTAGGCTGGTATAGGGATCATCGTGGGCATCGTAAAAGTCCTCTTCACCTTCGCTGCTCGAGTAGGAGGTCTCGGGCACAACCAGACCCAGGGGCGCTGTGGTGGCTGCAAAGCGGAATACAAATCGGAATTAGCAATAGACTGGCAATATTAGCTTAAATAGAACTCGAGGAGCAATCGACCAGAGGCCCACTTGACCCTGAGCTAATTGCCCACCGAGATATTTACAATGCTAAACAAATTTGTGGCATTCTAGCACTTGACCACTCACCATTTTCCGTGATTGAATCATCCTCGTCGTCCCCTGGTTCGCCCTTGCCGGCTAACATATCCTTTGACATCCCTATGCCACCGCCGATGATGACACCGCCGCTGGCCGAGGAGGTTGTTGATGCGGCTGCCTGGGGACCGTTGTATATGCCATTGATGGGATGGGCCATGTTTTTGGCAATCTGTAGGCTAACAATCGAGTGCTTGATGTGATCCAGCATGGCCTGCAAAGAGAAGGGGTATTTTGGTTTTCTTTATTTTTTTTTCAATGGACAGGCCAGGCCAATCGATTCGCCTTCGCCAAAGTTTGGCAAGGAAATGAAGAGCGACTGTTGGCCAGCAGACCCCTCTGCCAGCTGCTGGGCGGGTGTTATTCTCCCAAGCTCGTGCATCTGGCCATAGGGCTAACCCTGAACTTGCATTTTAAATCGATGGGGATGGCGGGGGGAAGAGAGGCCTAAATAGTGTGCCTTGGAAAACGTGTGTCGTTAAAGTTACTTTAGATAGACTAGACTACTAGTATATCGTAAATTCGTAATTCCAGTAATAAATACTATATATATATATTTTGTTAGATTTTGTGTCCGAGAGTTCAGCGAAATGGAGAATAAAATGGAGGGTGATTCGGACACCGAGCTGCTTGATCCGTTCAAGCACAGCATGGCTGAGGTCAGCTCCCGGGTCGATGCCTACAAGAGACGCCTGGAGGAGAAGGATATGCAACTCAAGATGGCAAGCCTCAGTCTGCAGTCGAGTTTCTGCGCGCTGAGCTTCGACTTGATTGGTATTCGACAGGATATAGAAAAGTTGGAGCGACAGAAGGAGCAGCACCAGCAGCTGCAACGGGAGCTCATGGCGCGCCTGGAGCCCGATACCATTGAAGTGTCTACTGCAGAGAATGGCTCTCCGAAGGTGGAGATAAATAACTGCAACGCGCCGGAATGCAAAGACGAAATGGTTTTCATTCGATTCGGCCCAAGTAAGTGCCCATATCAGAACTGTCGGCGCCAAATGGACAGCCAGTTGCTTCTGCTGCACTATCTCTTCGACCACGAGCAGGAGAATTCTGGCGTCCAGCAGTGCCACCGGCTGATGGAGGGCCAACGCACGGTGTTGTCCTTTCAGGCCATGAACTATCCCTTTGGGGTGAACCAGGTGCTGGGGCTGCTTGCCTACTGCGGCACGGTGGAACAGCAGTTTGTTCAACAGAAGAGCCCAATGCGCCGGAAGGTCTACAACAGCTTCCTGCCGCAGCAGCACGTGCACATGGAGAGCGACATACCCGTTGTTGTTTTAATGTGCAGGACGAAGCCCAGTGCTATGCTCTCGGAAAAGTTGCAGGCGCGCCAAAGCCACCTGCTGGACCAATACACGGATCACATTTTCGTGATCTGGCTGGTCACGCCCAACATCAGGCGTAAACTGAATGCCACACTTTATTTATGCGGCCGCGATGCCGCTGTCATGGGATGTAGTGTGGTGCGTGTGCGGGAAGTCAACCGGAGCCAGGAAACGCACCGCTTCATGCCCGTGGATTCTAACTACTGGCGACTGACTTATGCCGAGATGCAGAAGCTCTCAAACGGCTTCCGCGACGAGCTACACCTGGAAATCGGCCTCACAGAGGTACCGCCCACGTAACTTCCGTTAAATTGACATTCACCGACTGCCCGCCCCTCCGTTCGACCCTTCGCGTACTTACACTGGCGTTGTCCTGTAGCGCTTTACATTTGGCCTGCTCGTCGGGGTCGCTCAGCTCCGCGATGCGCTTTTCCAGCAACTGTTTTGAGTGGAAGAAAAAAATACGTTAAATTACATAATTCGTTTGCATTCCGTGGGAAGGGACACAAGGTTGCGAGAACAACTCACGTTTGTCTGCTCTATCATCAGCTGGAGGTAGGCATCCGCTTCGGAAACGCGGCGTGCTAGCAGCTCCAGGTGATTGGGCCGTTTGCCGCCATAGCTGGACTCCTTGGTATACCCGCCAGCGATGTAGAAGGCGCTCTGACTGTCCCACAGACGCGAGCGGTTCGCGTGGCGTCGTATTGTGTCCTCCAAACGTCTCACCCACTGCTCCCGCTCCTCGCTATGTCGCGCCTGCATACACCGACACCAGTGAGAGAGAAAAAAGTTTTATCGTTACAAAGCGCCAACCACCAAAAGGAAGAACGGAAGAGGGACAAGCCGAGCCGAAGAGTACATACTCTTCCATGGTTGTAATAGGTTGAACACAAAGTGTTGTTATTCTGACTGAGGAAGGGTTAAGGGTCAAAGAGGGAAAGGTGGCTGCTTGTACGTCAACACATACGTCGTATTTTAATTTTTAAATCAACGAGTAGTTTTATTCAATTGATGCACACACGTGCCGGGCACTTGCCTGAAAATGAAAAGTCTTGTGATCGACGGTTATTGTGAAGGTGTTATCCTCCTGATCATCGATGCCGATCAGGGCGTCCTTGAGTCGCACACATCCGCGTCGCACGCCCTTCATCATCTTCTCCTTGGACTGGAAGCAGAGAAATGCGTTGAAATTTGGGTAAGCTCATTAAACAGAGTCCCTCCGTCCAGTACTTTGGACGGGAATGCGTCAAAGGTGATTGCGGTGGTTCCGAAATCAATGAATTCAAATCAATGCTACTGTGGAATTAAAAATAATGTGCTGCGGAATGCAGCCGCTTAGATGTACGCCAGCAGTTGGAGGCAATAGAACGCGCAATCGGTGCTATCTCTCTATCTCAAGGAACGCATATCTCAAGGAGTAGCTGTGAAGGATACTCCTATAAACGGTCAACCATGGAAGCGGCAACAAGTGAGCACCAAGGACTATGGATATTATCCCATCTACACTCCAGCTCCCATCTAATCTGTCGAATTTTAGGTGCGAGTGCCAAAGTGATGGTGGATTTGAAACATCCTTGGATGATGGCGGATCCGTGGTTCATGGTTGCCACGCTAGGCATATATCTGTACTTCGTGACGTCGGTGGGTCCACTGTAAGTCTGATATGATAATGAAGCTCGTTTGCATTTCATGCCACTGAACCAAGTTGAACCTTTGTACAGAAAATATTTTAAGCAATTCAGGGCCTTCGACAAAATTATGCAAGAACTAGTCGGAAACGAGCTTTCAATCCGTTGTCCACTTTCAGATTTATGCAGTTCCGCAAGCCCTACGAGCTCAAAAAGCTGATTATAGCCCACAACGTGATCCAGGTCGTCTCCTGCATATACATCATTAGAGAGGTGAGTGAGTAGGAGCGGGAGCGATGCAAGATCTGTGATCTCGGATGTTTGTTTGAATCTTTCACAGATTTTCTATCTGTCGGACAATTCCATATATATTTTCTGGAAATGCCGAGACCTCGGCAGCAGTCCCGAGATGGTGAGGCGCTACTTTGAGCTGGCATACTTCCTCTTTTTTCTGAAGGCGTCGGAGCTTTTGGAGACGGTGATCTTTGTGCTGCGCAAGAAGCAGAATCAAGTGTCAAATCTGCACCTTTTCCATCACTTGTCCACCCTGACGCTAGTATATATTCTTATACACTACAACCAGAATGGTAATGTTCTTTGATCTGCCATCCAATGATTCAAAGTGTAATGCTATCCATTCCCCTTCACTTCGTCAACAGGTCTTGCTGCTTACTACGTCGTCTTCCTCAACTCCGTTGTGCACATCTTCATGTACTCGTATTACTTAGTGGCAGCGGTGGCCGATAAGAGCACTATCCGCGCTCTGACGCCCGTCAAGAAGTTCATTACAGTGATTCAAATGGTGCAGTTCTGCCTCATATTGACCCAGGTGGCGTTCCAGACTGCATTTTGCGGCATTCCGAAAGTAGTTTTTGGCTACTTCACGTTTGTTATAACGGTCATGTTGTATGGCTTTTATGACTTTTTTACGAGAGCCTACAGTAGCCCAAAGCATGGCAAGAGCGAATCTTCTGTGGAGTAAATATATGAATAAGAACAATACATTCGTCCGGACCAACAAATCTGCCTTTATCTCTATACAATTTATCCAAATGCACAATGCAGATAAGATAATAGTTCTGGGCAATTGCTGTGATTCTGGTTGGAGGCGTCGGTATCGGAGTCTCGGCGTGATACGTGGAGAAATGTTATTGGCATGCTATTATTCATATTCCAGCTGACATACAGCGCTCACTATCTGTCGCACACACACTCACCGTGTAGTAGGAGAGCAGGCCCGCATTCTCGTCCAGCACGAAGAAGCGGTACTGCCAGCCCTTCATCACGTTCGTCCATTTGCTCAGGGTTCCTTCCAGTGTGCTGGCGCCGGCACCAGCCCCAGCTCCAGCTCCAAATCCAGCACCAGAACTGGGCGCACTTGAAGGAGTACTGGCCATTTTTCCAGCGGCTGCAGTATCAGTATCTGCAGCCTGAGCCTGAGCTCGCCCCTCCTCCACGACTGCCTTGCCTGGATCTTTCCGTGCCGCTGGCGCTCGCGCCAACCAATTGGAGAAACTTGGCTAAACGATGCTGATGACGCAATATGATCCCTCCTTGCTCTTCTCGGTCAAAAAATCTCGCTCACGGGCTTCCCGGACTCGAGTCCGTTTTGCAAAACAAAGGTACAGAGTGACCGCGGGTGCTCCGATATACGGTCCGACCCTCAGAAATATACAGAAATATACCGTGTCATTTTAAAAATATACCGTAAATATACTGACGAATTTAAGTTCTGTTTTACATGTTCCTCGTTTTTGATCTTCCGTGGAATATTACCAGTTACATAGAACATTTAGCCATGCCCACATAATTTTAACCCATTGATGAATCAATTTTCTACACAATTGGTTAGTTTTTAGTCCTTGCTTTTATTGTATTTTGACTAAAACAAGGTTTGAACAAAATAGTTCAACAAAAAATCAGTCGCAATGTGGCTGGTATTTAAAGACATGATGCGCGTATAGGCCTTTGTGCACCCTATTTTGTTAATTTTATATGAAGATCAAACGTAATTTACAAAGACCTTTAATCAAATTGATATTCTTTAGACATATTCAAGTACATTATAAGTATCTTGTATATATTTATGTAGATCCTGATACCCACTGAGCCTTGGAAGACAAACATTTTCTCAATTCTATAACATCCATTTCCCCCAGGGTATGTGTGCATGGAATCAGCAACATGTTTGTGTATGGAATGGGACTCATTGTTGCTAAAGCAAAACTGCGGCGAATCGGGTATTGCCTATATTGCTTTATCCCATAGATAAATGTATTTTCTACAAGATTGCTTCTTTTAATTACCTTAATGTATTTTATTTTGACCAAAAAACGGCTTTCAAGTAAATGTTGCAGCAACTTTTGTGTATGGAATGCGCAACATTTGTGTATGGAATGAGACTCATTGTTGCTAAAGCGAATTGGGGTGAAATGCGGCGAACTGCGGCGAATTGCGGCGAATTCAAATTTTCTCATATTCTTTGTTCCGTTGAATAATACTATCTATATGGAACATTTAGCCATGCCCACTCAATTTTATTCGATTGATGAATCAATTCTATACATGATTGGCCTATTCGTAATACTTGCATTTTTTGGATTTTTATATAAAATCTAAAATTAAATTAATAGATGACAAAAATACTAAAAAACACCACATGGGAGCGCGGCGAAAACCAGTTTCTACAGTATATACGGTCTCACTTGAAAAATATACCGAGTGGTGCGCGCCAAATCGAACTTTTTTGAATGTGAGCGACAAGGATTTAAATGTTGTCAACCGGGCCTTTATCTATGCCCACATAATTTTATACGATTAATGAAGCAATTTTCTACAAAATTGGTTAGTTTGTAGTCCTTGCTTTTATTGTATTTTGACTAAAACACGGTTTTCAAGTAAATGTTGCCGCAACATTGTGTTGAATGGGACTCATTGTTGCTAAAGCGAAACTGCGGCGAATCGGGTATTGCCTATATTTCAAGCTATATAGATTTGCCCACTTAGCTTTATCCCATAGATAAATGCATTTTCTACAAGATTGCTTCTTTTAATTACCTTAATGTATTTTATTTTGACCAAAAAACGGCTTTCAAGTAAATGTTGCAGCAACTTTTGTGTATGGAATGCGCAACATTTGTGTATGGAATGAGACTCATTGTTGCTAAAGCGAATTGGGGTGAAATGCGGCGAACTGCGGCGAATTCAAATTTTCTCATATTCTTTGTTCCGTTGAATAATACTATTTATATAGAACATTTAGCCATGCCCACTCAATTTTATTCGATTGATGAATCAATTCTATACATGATTGGCCTATTCAAAATACTTGCATTTATCGGATTTTTATATAAAATTGAAAATTTAATTAATATATTGATGAAATTTACAAAAATACCATGGGAGCGCGGCGAAAACCAGTATTTCTACAGTATGACCCTCAGAACATCACCGAAATATACGGTCTCATTTGAAAAATATACCGAGTGGTGCGCGCCAAATCGAACTTTTTTGAATGTGAGCGACAAGGATTTAAATGTTGTCAACCGGGCCTTTATCTATGCCCACATAATTTTATACGATTAATGAATCAATTTTATATTTAACCGGCGTATTCCTAATACTTGCTTTTATTGTATTTTGACTAAACAAGGTTTTCAAGTAAATGTTGCCGCAACATTGTGTATGGAATGAGACTCATTGTTGCTAAAGCGAATTGGGGTGAAATGCGGCGAACTGCGGCGAATTGCGGCGAATTCAAATTTTCTCATATTCTTTGTTCCGTTGAATAATACTATCTATATGGAACATTTAGCCATGCCCACTCAATTTTATTCGATTGATGAATCAATTCTATACATGATTGGCCTATTCGTAATACTTGCATTTATTGGATTTTTATATAAAATCTAAAATTAAATTAATAGATGACAAAAATACCATTTAGCACTAAAAAAACACCACATGGGAGCGCGGCGAAAACCAGTTTCTACAGTATATACGGTCTCACTTGAAAAATATACCGAGTGGTGCGCGCCAAATCGAACTTTTTTGAATGTGAGCTCCCGGTTATGGTTGCAGCTCGGATTCGTCCATCGTGGCGCGGCTTATGGAGTCCGAGGCGACTCTGTTCAAGTAATGCACCCGCGACGCGTCTCGAGGACGAGGGAACGCGGCTTCTCCACCCCCCTTCCACAAAGCACGACGGCTGCCATCCACGCGGGTGATCTCGATGAGATGAGCCTCCGCATCGGACCGACGCGAGAACATGCCCCATTCCCCACGTCTTTCCATCGCACCAGACGCCAGTTGCCGTTTTAGCCTTGTCACTTGTAAAGACAAGACTTTTTTTCATAACTTTATTCAAAAGTACATAAACCAACGATTTATTTGCTTAATTTCAAATCAATTACATTTCCGCTCAACAGCACCAACTAAAACTAAAACACTTAGGACCTTAAGAAGAAAGCATATCAACTACGGCTTGGTTGGGCAGGGCACGAATTTTGGTCTCAAGCACTTAACTAAGCTAAAAACAAATCCCATCCGGGTGGAGCTGTCGCTTAACTGGCGAAGAAACACCTGTAGAGCATGTATAGGATGCCAAAGAGCCAGATACCCTTGTAGACCTTGTCCACCACCCACATACTGAAAGGCAGATTGAGATAAGTGCATGTTTCTTGTCAGGATTCCAAAGTACTTACACTTTCATGTGTCTCCGGGCCGCTGGAATGGATTCGTCCGACTCCTTCAGGATCAGACGACGGGCGCAGAGCACACAGTTGGTGAAGTAATCGATCAGATCGAGCTCGATCTTTTCTATCACATATGTCTTCCGCTCTTTGTTGTTCATTAGCTTCCGTAGCTTCACAGCCTCCGAATTGTCAAAGTTCCAGACGTTGTTTGCATAATACTCGAATACCTCGAAGCCCTTAAAGATGCGATTCTGGACGCGGCACAGTACTGGGGGGTAGCGAAGCAGCCAAAGCAGGGCATCCACGAACAGGGCCGGCATCCATTGGAAGAGGATCATGCAGATGCAGTGCACCCAGTAGTTGGATTTCATGGATCCGCCCGGGTACCAGGCTACGCCGTTCAGAGGCACCTTGTTCTCGATGACCCAGCGGCCGAGCTCGATGATCTCTGCCCAGGATACCTTGATGTCGTTCGAGGACGTCATGTGGGCCACACGGTTCGTGTTGTCTGTGCCGGCCGTGATGTTCCTCCAGCTGGCCACCAGTATGCCATTCACAGCCACGTCGACGGGCAGGAAGTCACCGTATCCGGACGATTTGCAGTACATGGTGCGGATGACTCCCTTGCCGGCGCCGATGAGCAGGCCCGTCGGTCCATTGATGTTGTCTGTCCAGCCGGGAATGGGCTCCTTCCAAATGGGAATAACTATCGAGGGCCGCAGAATGACGGCTGGCAGCTCCTTGAACTTCTCCACCACCAGGGCTTCGGCCAAGGACTTGGTGTAGGCATAGGTGTTAGGTATATCGCCCAGGATCTTCTTCTCAATGGTGGCCACCTCGTCGTCCGACAGCCACTCGCAGGCCTGCATCACCTTGTGCGGGTCTGCGGGAGGATCATAGGGCTTCTCGTACAGCGTCTTCACGTGTAGGTGGCAGTAGGCCGTCGAGCAGTAGGCGAAGAACTCTAGATGCTTCAGACTGCCAGCCAACTCAAGCATATACTTGGTGCCGCGCGTGTTCATGAAGACGGCGCTGCGCAGCGGCTCATCGAAGCTAATGCAGAAGGAAGTTTACGAGTATTAATAGAATAGATACAAATGTATCGCACAGAGGTGTTACGTACCGCACTGTGGCCGCACAGTGGTATACGATGGACACTTCCTCGCGCAACGTAGCCAGGTCCTGCTCGGAGATGCCGAGGCCAGGTAGGAGGACATCGCCGGCTATGGCCACCACCTGCTGCAGGATGCGCTCCTCTCCGCGCTGCTGCTTCACCTGGTCAAAGAGCTAAAAACACACACGCATATCGGAGGTTTATTATTAAACTAAATGAGGCCATGAATTTTCATAATTCGCATTAATTTCCAAGGCTGCCACTGCTTACCACGTTCTGGAATATATCCTTGATGCGCTCCTGTGGATCCTTGCCCTTCTTGGGGCGAATGAGCAGATAAATGTGTTTCAGTTCGCCACACGAGCTGCGGTAATTAATAATATTGCAACATGAGCACAGATTGAGATTAATTGATGTGCGCCGTGCGAGGCCAGCTAACCTTCGACCCAAGCACACATCCGCCCAACCACCCACTCACCGCAAAAGCTTCTCGACCAGGACCTTTCCCAGGAATCCAGTGCCTCCTGTGATGAACAGACTGCGCCCCTTGAAGCACTCTGCAATGCGATCCACCTCGTTTTCGTCCACATTGCCTATGGTCGCCAGGTCATTCTTCTCGTACACAAACTTCGGTTTGGCGGTCATCTCTGGCTGATGATGTCTTTGACGATGGCGATGAGGATGATGTATGTGTTGATTCTCTGTCAGATATGGAAATGGAAGCCTCGTCACGTAATTGTCACATCATAGCCAAGTGCACTTTTAATTTCATTTGATCTTGGTCGTAAAGTTGTCCGGGCCTGTTATGTGGCAACAACCAGTCCGAGACTCGGCCAGGCGACAAACGCAGATCACAGCCGCTTTCAGCCACACTCCGCTGGCGCTGTCCCCAATCCATGCAGTGTCAACGCAGTGACCATCGAGTGGGCAAGCGAACCGACACCAATTTTGAATTACGGCACTTTGGCGATTGCCACATCTGTGCCTCATGCCGCATGCCGCCCCGATACTGATATGAGCCATGAGCTTGCCTGCCAGTGCGCTCGGGCATGTCCACTTCACTGCAGCGGACATAAGAAAACCTGTGTCCTTCAAGTTGTTGACTTACATCCGATCGAAAGCCGTCCACTGACACAGTGACCCACAACACCACATGGCGATTGGAATAAACGGACTTGGACCCCAGAGTATAGAGCGGACCCACCCAGCAATGGAAAGCAATGAGATATGGGATGTGATACCTAATAATCCGAACCGCCTACCGCTCCAACTGCTACTGAAACTTGACACTGAAGCCAGGTCCGACTCGGACTTGGCCATAAAAACAAACAACGAAGCTTGGGTATAGTTTCAGATCTACTTTTTTATGGCCGCCAAGTTTTGATGCAATTTTGTAAACGGCCTGAATGTCTTGGGCCTAAATAAAAGGCGTTAATGACTACAGCATTGGCAGATCAACAGCGACAGTGGCAAAAGAATGGAAAAGCCCCGGGGCCAGGCCAAGATCAAAATAATTAAGCTGCAGACCATACGTATAATTCCGTTTGATACCAAAGACTTGAGAAGCGAACGTGATTTTTGAAAGTGAAATTCCCTTGGGCAGAGGGCAGACCAGGCCTACTGTTAGCCTGGTTAACCACTAAACGCGACTGCCAGACTGACTGTTGACCCGCTTGTCTCGTGTTAGTACATGTACCAATTATTGTAGTTTCAGATCTACAATCTTGTTGCCATCGGCGGAACTTTCCTAAGGCAGAGTCCATAAACGTTTCCATCTTTGCATCTCTGTCAGGTCTTTCTGCCAGTCATGACTCCGAGTCTAAGGGGAATCAATGGGGATCTATCTACAATTCACAGCAGTGGTTATTGTTGATGCAGGCATTGCATGGACGGATCAACAGCTGCAACCGCTCGAGAAGAATGTAAGCAACATGAGGTGGCACTCGAATTGGCACTGGCACTGGGATTACAGATTGGAGTGGAGGCAGGAGTTTGGGGCCAGGAGTCTGGTGTCTGGGTGGGGGGTTTACTCGAAGCCAAGACACAATTTCGTAATAGCCGAAAAATGCTTTCTGCTCTGTGTGTTTCTTTTCTTTTGGCCACGGTTGGGCAACCAGTTTTGGCCTGAACAGAGATGTCAACGATGCGATTAATAATCAGGGAAACCAAGGAGTGGAAAACTAACGTTATTGGCTAATTGAATATAAAGTTTACTGGCATTTGTTTTATATCATGAGACCAGAAAATAAGGACACGGACATTCCACTTAAATTGTATTTCTTACAATAAACTTTGCACTTCGACTCGCACGCCTTGAACTGGACTTAAATGCCGCTTAAATCTATTGTAAGTAGTCCAATACAAAGTCCCCTTTTGAATGGAAATCACATTAATTATTTAATTTTTTCATCAATAAGCCGATCAATTGATTGCTGTTTTATATGCAGAATTATCCAAGCAAGCAGTTGGCACCTTCAGTTGACAATGGTGGAGAAAAACCCTTTGGCCGGACGAAAATACACACAGATACTCAGATATTCAGCTACTCAGTACTCAGTACACGGATGCCGATATTTCTTCCGGGTGTTGACCTGCACACACCAAATGCTAAACACAAACTGATCAGACCTGGCTGCGGCATCCACAGAAAGAGTCGTGCACTCGAAACAAACTTAATAGAAAATAAAACGAAAACAACTTTAGGCTAAACTATGTATCAAGCTAGTTAAGGCACACACAGATGCACAGACGTACAGATACACAGTCAGAGGGGCCACAGATCTACAGAGGCTAGCGGAACACACAGACACACCAAAACCCAGAGGAGAGCCAGAGAGAAGTGACATACCATACGAACATACGAGCATATGCAAAGAGCGTGCAACGAGAGAGCGGGCTTCCCCCAGTCCCGCTCCACCATTCAGCAGCGCCGGCAGCAGCAGTCAACGGTCAGAGGTTTCTACTACTGTGCGGCGCTTTCTCACCTGGCTCTGGGTTCGACTCTGAGACGGTCGACGTTTACCTGCTCAGCGGCTACATTTGCTTTGGATACTCACATCCGCCATGCACTCAGAACATGATGAAACTGTGCATCTGGTGGTGGTGCTGTTGCTGCTGTTGCTGCTGGTCAAGCCATCAATTTGTGGGCCAAGCGATGATGGCCAGACGTTGCGCATACGCAGTGTGTGTCCTCCCCCGAATAGGGAAAACTACTGCGGCCGCTTTAGCTACTGAATCCGAACCAATCTGGCACGGCCCGGCCCCGGCCCGCCTTTATGGCCTGCATAAATCTCCATTGCGCTGGCCATTAATTAGACAGAGTTTGTTAGTTACAGTTGTTAGGCAAATGCGCGCGGATTCGGCACACAATCATAAATTTCGTTGGACTGCAGCTCGGCGATAAAGACGGCCATTGGAAGCGTGACAGATAGAAGAGCAGACAAAAATTTGACAATGGCATTGACATCGAAATATCGTCGTGGTGTGGTTTTGGCTCTATTTTTAGCCAGGGCTATGGCTAATCAAATATTAACGAAAGGCTCTCCGAAGCATTAGATACCGTTAAAGATCGACTATTACAATGGTAGCATAAAGATACACTTTTAGTGGCACTACAGCGAGCAGTTTATGTGTTAGCTGCATTACAAAGCAGTTAGTCACGCTAGTCATAGCCAGATTGTTGAAATGGCTATTGATAATTGAAAAAGCTATTGCCCTCTGTATGAATGTTAAAAAAGCCAAACGGAGAGAGTGTGTCCAAAGAAGCCTTCCAATCCTTAACTGTTGCTATGCTTACGATTGATTTAAAGCGACCTCAAGTGCACACCTCATCTCGGGGCAAAGGCAACCCATCGAAGAATCATTTTGGCCAGTAACTGGGGGACTGGCACACGTCGAAGATCGTGGCTTGGTCAACAAACCGCTTTGAACTTGAGTTGGTCATTTCGATTGTCATTTCTGTTTCGTTTCCCAGTGACTTTGGTTTCGTTTTCCGCAGCGATTTATGCAAATGAAGCCATCAGCATGTTTAAGTATCCAAACTGGTTTCTATTGATTTCGGACGATCGTAAAGTGAGCATCCAACACATTAAGCCAGACGACAAGCAGATACATGACAATGGACCTGACACATTTCTGCCTCATCATGCCCAGTGGACAAAGTCATTGATAAAACGGGCATAGTACGTACGTACAAGAAACAACACGCACAGATACAGAGACAGAATTGGGCTAACTGGCAGACTTGTCTTCAAAACTTTGGCCTTTCAAAGTGTGGCCCTAATTATAGACTTCCGCCTTTGAACAGTTTCGCAGCCCCACCCAAGAGGAGGGGCCTGAGACAAAGACAGGGACTGGGACAGAGGGACAGAGACAGGCCTGAAAAATGCTTGCCACAGGCGCCACAACGTATCCCGTTACATGGCCATAAAGCTCTATAAACGATGCGACCGAGGGCAAATTATAGCGTATACGAACACGTAGACGATCCACTCGCCGATGGCTAATTGGACGTGCCAGGCGAGGCTACTCCTTCCCCTGCTGATGCCACTGCTGATGCCACTGCTGCTGCCCCGGCTGCTGCCCCGGCTACTGCTCCGGCTGCTGCTGTTCCTTCTGGAACTTAAAAGCGGGCGTAACATAACAATTGTGGGCGATTTGCATACAATTTGGAGCTCCAGTAACCAGCAAACTGGCGTCAAAATGTTGCTACGTCATTGCTGGTACTGTTTTTGTTGGTTGAATGTTGATGTTGAATGAAGTGCACACAATGAATCTGGCCTGGCCTTTGTCTGGCTGACAGTCATGACAAACATATCTGGGCAAGGGCAGACCGCAGTCCATGGACCAGAGATGGACATTGTCAAGGTCTCCTTCCGGTCTGTTGTTGCAGGTAATCTGCATTTAGCCATTCAAAAAACTGTATTCATCCCACGGCAAACAGATATCCGAGAGGCCATGCAATTCCCGTTCTAACAGCCCCCAAGAGTTGGGGGGTGGGATCTCTGTTCGTGAAACATGTTGCTGCAACACTTGTTGCTTGTACCCACACGCACCTCCTGACGGAGGCAGCAACAGTAGCAGCAAGAGAAGTTTCGCACCACTCGCCCACGGTCCCTCGCAAAGGACCCCATATAAAACAGGATGTTTCGCCAAACATTTGCACAGAACAGTTTCACATTCGCCCGGACAACAAGTGTGTGTGTGTGTATGTGTGGCATCCAGAGATACGCACGAGCGGCATAATCTAGTCCTCCAGAGCCAGCCTTTTGTGGCCCCAGAAGACAGGTGGGTAGCCTAATTACTGTGAAATGTGGCATCCCCTGACTGGTGTGATTGGTTAATTGCACAAAATCTATTGAAATTGTGCCTTGCACCAGAGCCAAATATTATATCAGTGCGTCATTAATTAGTCCATTAACCGACGTCTCTTCGGAAGAACACTACACCGGCCAAAACACTAGCTTTTTGACTCTTCTTTGCCAGAAATATTATAAAGATTAAATCAATATATTATTGTGTAATTGCATTGAGATATACAGTCTCATCATTTTGCACTATTTCTGGAATATATATTTTAAGTGGGTGTCATTTTGTATATTTTGTAGTTTTACAAATTCATTTTGAGATTACAATTTTATGCTGGTGCCTACGAAACCTTTCACTCGTATTAAAAACAGCTTATTAACAATTATTTAATCAATTAACAATGTTTTTCCTGAAAACTGTGTATTTTTTAAATGTATCATGCAACTCATGCATTGAAGCCTTAGCTTAACTTTTTCTCATATACATATTTTATTCGCTTAAAATAGATGTTTTTCCCTCAAAAGCCGAGTATTTGAATACATATTAAATATACACTTCAAACTAATTTAATGTAACTCCCCATCTAAGTAGAAAAGCTGCAGATTATACATTATTCCATTTCGGGAACTTTGTGGGGATTGTGTTGGTAGGTAGACGTGTGCATCACCCACCTTATAATGAGAGGTATACATAGGTCCTCTGCATCCGAACACCCGCACACATCCAACGATACCCGATACACGAGGGAAACAAATAGTCACCGTCCTCAACAGTCATTTTGGTTAATGAAAGCAAATTGAAATATTTATGACTGCACTTTGGTGGCGCGGTAAGGAGAGACGACAAGACAGTAGAGGCAGCCAGCCGCAGAGCGTCACTAGATTTTCATTTGCATTCACACTTTTTCCATGGAAAATACATATGACATTTAAGAGTCTTAGTGCAACGTTTTTGATTTACGAGTATCTGTGGCACTGGCTCATCTCATCGCATCGCATCGCATCTCACATCTACCCTGACAACCGGAATGGCCCGCGACAATCATTTGTCTTGGCACTTGTCCCCAGTAGCAGGACCCACCTGACAAATGATTTTTAAATGCTCCCAACAACAGAACGACTGGGCGGAGCAGTCGGAGGAGCCACTTCAAAGGTATCTCATGCCGCATATCTCTCATATACCATGTAAATCAGGTTACATCTGTCTCAAACTACAAAGTCCCATCCGACATATCGATGGCTAAGCAAATTAACGAGTGTGTTATTGATACGCCAGCACCCAGCACCCAGCTTCACTGTTTCACTGTTTCACTGTTCCGCGGAAGGAATGAGGAGATTACACAGAACAGAAGGCACGCACAAGGCACACACTCGTATACTATACTCGTATACTCGTATACACGTAGCAGCTTACATTTATGAATTTTAAATGCACATTTCGGCATCGCAAATCAATCAGACGTTTGGCAATTGCCGTCTACCCACTTCACAATCGTTGATTCCTGGCTTTTGGAGTGGTCGTCTGTCGCTCCGTCCAGAAGTGCCTCATGTCATTGCTTGCATCATATTTGCCCGCTGTTCATAAATGAAATGATGTCTGGTTTTTGGTGTTTTATTGCAGCTGGACCCTTGAGTACCCCATGTGGCAATATCTAGCCGCAACCAGAAACCGCTGCACTTGCAGTGGCTATTGTAGAGGTGTGAACAGCGATTAATTGGTCAAATTTTTATTCAAATTTTTCGCTGCTTGCCCAGCCAGAATGACTGAATACCAGTCCTGATTGTTCGGGAGACTCAAAATTAAGCAAGTACAAAGTACGGAGACAGACAAAATGTGTGTTAATGCTAATGCTCAGGTTGCGAAGTCCGCTCATCAGCCAAGTTGGAGGTCAAGTTTTTTCTGTTTTTTGTCTGTCCCGAGTTGTCTGAGCAGGTTTTCTACATTATTTCTTTTTGGAGCAATCAAAATCACACAGTCACAGAGAAGTCTTTGGGCTGAGTGTTAATTTGGACCCCTGCTGGCAAAGGTTTAACGCTGGCGTGGCTAAGAGCGACTGCGAGAATATGGCAGTCTGTTCATCTTCATCTGAAAGGGGTCTTTGTCTTTGCCATGCAGATGCATCAACACAGCACCTTCTCGTTCAGTTGAATGCCACCCAACGGATCAGTTTGCCATAAGCAGGAGGGCAGGCCGAGGCAGAGCACCATCGTAATAACACCAGAACTGAGCACCGTCACCATATCCAAAAGCCATAATCATTTGCATCTCTAATGGCCCTACTGTGGCATCCTCCGGACGTCATACATCAACACCCCCATACACATCCACAGCCACATCCACAGCCACTCGCACTCCCTTTGGTTAGCGACTTGTGCCGTGGCCAACAAGTGTTAATGCCTGTAAACTCTCATCCGCCTGTTGTTTGGGCTAGGTGCCAATGTGGAGGGAGGGCCTGGGGCTCCTGTTGCTGTGGCTTTAATGCGGTTGGTTAACTTTTAACAGCCATATCTCCGGCCATAAATATTATGATGCTTAATTAGCGGGACACTTTTTCTGCAGTTGAGTAAGGAATGGGGGAAGGGAAGGGTTTGCAAGATGTAGGCATCTTCTGGCTAAGCTACAGTTGCCCGCTAAGTAAAATGGACGTTCGGCCGCCAGCGTTAATGTGATTAAAAGTTGCAATAGATAATCTGCGGTGGCATCTTGGGCCAACTGGTAATTAATTCCCACTCTCTCTTGGTTCATCTTTCAGACAAGATGGGCATTGCCTTGATGTTCCTGCTGGCGCTCTACCAGATGCAGTCGGCCATCCACAGCGAGATCATTGAGTCGCCCAATTTCGGTTCGAATGCCCTGCTGGAGTCAGACACGGATGCGGATCAGGGCTCCAGTTTTCAGACGGGCCATAGGGAAATCCTTCAAGATGCCGAAGAGAAGCCGGATCAAACAGAACAGGAGTTTCGGTATCCCATCTCGGCCATAGGCATCGACTATGCCAGGAATTCGGTGATTCTGCGTTTCCAGAAGCACGGCCGAAGGCAGCGCCTCAAGTACGATCCGGAGCTGGAGGCCAAGCGTAGGTCCCTGCAGGATAACTTCATGCACTTTGGCAAGCGGCAGGAGGAGCAGATGCCTCCAGACGAAAGCTATGGCTCTGATGGGGAAGAGGGTATGGTGAAGCGGTCTGACATGGATCGCTATAGTCGCGATCCCAAGCAGGATTTTATGCGATTCGGTAGGGATCCGAAGCAGGACTTTATGCGCTTCGGCCGGGATCCGAAACAGGACTTTATGCGTTTCGGCCGGGATCCCTCTGATTTTATGCGGTTTGGAAGGGCTCCATCTGATTTTATGCGGTTTGGCCGGACCCCCTCGGACTTTATGCGATTCGGCAGGACTCCATCGGACTTCATGCGCTTTGGACGGTCGGACAACTTCATGAGACTCGGACGCAGTCCTCACGAGGAGCTGCGAAGTCCCAAGCAGGACTTCATGCGGTTCGGCCGGCCAGACAACTTTATGCGATTCGGACGCTCTGCTCCCCCAGAGTTTGAGCGCTATGGCAAGATGGACTCGAACTTCATGCGCTTTGGAAAGAGCGCCAATCCGGCTGCCCCACCCGCTTCAGGAGCTCCCGAGTCGAACCAGACAAAGTCGCAGCCAGCCAGCAACCAGCCCGGCGAACGGAGTCCCGTGGACAAGGCCATGACTATTCTGTTCAGGAAACAGGAACAACAGCGGCAGTCCAAGAGCGGCGAACAGACCGAACACACAGCTGAGGGTGGGAGCGTGGAACAAGAACAGTTCTACGGTCAGTAGAGAAACACCCCTACCATAGTTCTCATCCATGTAAATATTATCTGACAAGACCACGCTCGGAATGTAATGATTATGATATGAAATGTATTGAAATATAGAACTCTTAAAATACGTATTGCCCTCTTCCCTCGTCAAACTCTTGATAAACGCCTAGGGTGTGAATTTTTAATGGGGCTGGATTAAAAATTCACCACGCTTTGATCTGATCAAATTAAAAGTTGACACTCCACAAATACTACATATAAATACACACTTAATCGAATATATATGTATAGTTTCATTTGAAATGCATTGAAATGTTGTGAACAAGTCCTTTCGAATTAAAATAAAGAATGGTCAAAACACTATCCATATTTTCAAAATTCAAATTAATCCAGAAGATCTGGCAGAGCTGTGCCACTTGTTTATAGAGATGTGAGTCACGTATAGACGTGAAATATACCCACGAACATTATAAACTTTCAAGATTTTAGTATAGTTCAGGTGAAAGATATCGTGGTCATTTTTTTATATGTAAAAATCATTTATTCCAATGGTTTGCATTCAAACCCTTATCGCTCATTCACTTTCAAACAATTTCTATTTGGCGGTCAAGTTGGGTGGGACTTGCTCTCTTTTTTGTGATGGGATATCCTCTCTTCGTTGAGGGACTTTTTCTCGCCACAATGCCACTGCCACTGTTTTTTTTGTTGACCTTTTTCGCTAAAACCTTTTTTTGGGCGATATCCAATAAAAGCAAGTATGTAGAATAAACCAGTTAAGTAAAAAATTCATTCACCAATCGTATAAATTTATGTGGGCATGGCTAAATGTTCTACATAGCTTGTAATATGCCACGGAATATTAAAATCGAGGAATATGTTAAAAAGAACTTGAATTCGTCAGTATATTTACGGTATATTTTTCAAATGAGACCGTATATTTCGGTGATGTTCTGAGGGTCATACTGTAGAAATACTGGTTTTCGCCGCGCTCCCATGGTATTTTTGTAAATTTCATCAATATATTAATTAAATTTTCAATTTTATATAAAAATCCGATAAATGCAAGTATTTCGAATAGGCCAATCATGTATAGAATTGATTCATCAATCGAATAAAATTGAGTGGGCATGGCTAAATGTTCTATATAAATAGTATTATTCAACGGAACAAAGAATATGAGAAATTTGAATTCGCCGCAGTTCGCCCCAGTTCGCTTTAGCAACAATGAGTCTCATTCCATACACAAATGTTGCGCATTCCATACACAAAAGTTGCGGCAACATTTACTTGAAAACCGTTTTTTGGTCAAAATAAAATACATTAAGGTAATTAAAAGAAGCAATCTTGTAGAAAATACATTTATCTATGGGATAAAGCTAAGTGGGCAAATCTATATAGCTTGAAATATAGGCAATACCCGATTCGCCGCAGTTTCGCTTTTGCAACAATGAGTCCCATTCCATACACAAATGTTGCTAATTCCATGCACAAATGTTGCTAATTCCATGCACACATACCCTGGGGGTAATGGATGTTATAGAATTGTGAATATGTTTGTCACCCCAGGCTCCGTAGGCATCAGGATCGACATAAATATATACAAGATACTAATAAGGTACTTGAATATGTCTAAAGAATATCAATTTGAGAAAAGGTCTTAACAAATTACGTTTGATCTTCATATAAAATTAACAAAATAGGGTGCACAAAGGCCTATACGCGCATCATGTCTTTAAATACCAGCCACATTGCGACTGATTTTTTGTTGAACTATTTTGTTTAAGCCTTGTTTTAGTCAAAATACAATAAAAGCAAGGACTAGAAACGAACCAATTGTGTAGAAAATGTATTCATTAATGGGCTAAAATTATGTGGGCTTGGCTAAATGTTCTATATAGCTGGTAATATTCTACGGAAGATCAAAAACGAGGAATATGTAAAATAGACCTTGAATTCGTCGGTATATTTAAGGTATATTTTGGTATATTCCTGAGAGCCAGGCGGTATGTCTTATCAGCTGTCCACAGTTTCCACCTGATAGCGTTCGATCCATTGCTGTTTTTTTGATTGGATTGGCAAATTCTATCAATAGATTCCAAATTAGATCTTGCTATCTGAAGTGGATTGGCGCATTAGTCAACGGTAAACATATTGCATGTGAACTTTAGCACCGGCGCCTACGTCAGTCTCCCTATAGAGGGGTCTAAAGTCCAACCTGTTGCATCGCTCTGATCTTGTTCTTGTTCTTCTTTTGTGTATGTTTTGGAAAAGTGTAAATACAGATATATATATAAATTTATATCCGGGAACCGCACAGCGCAGTGACCGCCTTTTCCAAGCTCTAGAAACCATTGCAAGTGGCCGCCAGGAGGAAAAAATATGTCTGCGCTGCTGAAAATTAACAGAGGTGAGTGGATCTTTGCCAGGGCAGTCTCTTTCTCCCGACAACAAATTTGGTGGATTACATAACCGAAATGACGATCAAGCAATGTGCAACAATAAAAACAGACTGGTCAGCGGAAGACACGAGACAGAGACAAAGATACAGTCTGTGGTCAGTTCTTATCAGGCCATGGAATTTTCCCCTCATCCAGTGATAGATTCTTGTCTGTCTCTCTGTCTCCTCCTAAAAAGTTCAAAGGCTCTTCACGCCCGCCCTAGTGCGCAGCGTGTCAGAGGCCGCCAAATACCCGAGGATTACCACACACTACACGTTGAATCCCCGGGAGAAGGATGGACGGTGGAAGGAGGTCGACATGGAGCGCTGCATCGAGGAGGTAGACATTGTCATTGTTGGAGGGGGACCGGCGGGCATGTCGGCAGCCATCCGGGCCAAGCAGCTGGCCGCTGAGAAAGATCAGGTGAGTGGGCAACCACATACGGCGATGGATGTGATGTGCTGACCAGCGTGCATACATTTCTTATCCCCGCAGGAGATTCGAGTCTGCGTTGTGGAGAAGGCAGCGGAGGTGGGTGGACACATACTCTCCGGAGCTGTTGTGGATCCCATCTCGCTGAACGAACTGATACCTGACTGGCAGGAGCAGGGCGCCCCGCTGAACACGCCCGTGAGCAAGGACACCTTCTCCTTCCTCACCTCCTCGGGTCGCATCTCCATACCCATCTTCAAGGGATGGCCCATGGACAACCATGGAAACTATGTGGTGCGTCTCGGCCACCTCGTCAAATGGCTTGGTGATCAGGCCGAGGCGATGGGTGTAGAGATCTATCCCGGCTGTGCCGCGTCCGAAGTGCTCTTCCACGAGGACGGCAGCGTCAAGGGCATTGCCACCAACGATGTGGGCATTGCCAAGACTGGGGCGCCCAAGGACACCTTTGCCCGCGGCATGGAGCTGCATGCGAAGACCACCATCTTCGCCGAGGGATGTCGTGGCCACCTCACCAAGCAGGTCATGCAAAAGTTCAACTTGAATGAAGGCAGCGAGCCACAGGCCTACGGAATCGGTCTGAAAGAGGTCTGGGAGATTGCCCCCGAAAAGCATCAGTGAGTGGCTGCCTTATAAGTGTGAAAATATACCATTTCTTATAATAATGGAATGCGTTTCAGGCCCGGTTTGGTGGAACACACCATTGGCTGGCCCTTGGATCGATTCACCTATGGTGGATCCTTCCTGTATCACCTGAACGAGCCCACCCCTACGATAGCTGTCGGCTTTGTGGTCGGCCTGAACTACAAGAATCCCTGGCTAAGTCCGTTCCAGGAGTTCCAGCGATTCAAGACGCATGCCAAGGTTCGCGATATATTCGACGGTGCCACCCGCATTGCATATGGAGCCCGGGCCATCAACGAGGGCGGCTACCAGAGCATACCCCAGAAGTTGTCCTTCCCCGGCGGCTGCCTAGTGGGCTGCAGTGCCGGTTTTCTAAATGTTCCCCGCATCAAGGGCTCCCACTATGCCATGAAGAGTGGCATGCTGGCGGCGGAGAGCGCGTTAGAGGCCATCAATGCCGACTCCCAGTCCACCGCTGGCGTGGAGCCGACAAGCTACGCGGATAAGTGAGTGGAATGGATTAACTTAAAATGGAAATGTATGTAATGAAACTCACTCAATGCAGAATCAAGGATTCATTTGTGTGGAAGGATCTGTACAAGGTGCGTAATGTCCATCCCTCGTTCCACAATCCGTTGGGCCTGTACGGCGGTCTCGTCCTGAGTGGCTTCTCCATTTTCATGGGCGGCCGGGAGCCCTGGACCCTGAAGCACGGTCCCCAGGATCACGAATCGCTGCAGCTGGCCAGCGCCAGTGAGCCCATTGTCTACCCCAAACCCGATGGCAAGGTATCCTTCGACCTGCTTTCATCGGTGGCCCTCACCGGCACCAATCATGAGGGCGACCAGCCAGCACATCTCACGTTGAAGGACGACCGCATTCCCGTCGATCACAACCTGGCTCTGTACGAGGGTCCCGAGCAGCGTTTCTGCCCCGCCGGCGTGTACGAGTACGTGCCCAACGAGGAGGGCGGCAACATGAAGCTGCAGATCAACGCTCAAAACTGCATCCACTGCAAAACATGTGATATCAAGGATCCCAAGCAGAATATCAACTGGGTGGTACCCGAGGGAGGTGGCGGCCCCGCCTACAATGGCATGTGAATGGCATCATGGAAATCATCTCCTGTACCGCAATTGCATTTGATTAGTTTGTAAAATTGAGAATTTGATAACACTATTTGGAATTTAAGCTATAAAGTTGCAATAAAATTGTAGATAAAGTGAAAAGTCAGTTGCCAAAAAGGTTTTATTTAAAATGTTCTACCATCGTTTTTTCGGTTTCTGTTGTTCTTGTTTCTTGTTTAAAACACCAACTTAATAGGTAAATACAATAAATTTTCAATTTCAAAACCTTTCATATATATTCAGTGCACGGATAAAACTTGTTCTCTTTTTATATAGCTTCACATATATGTATATATAAGTATGTATTGTATAATATACTATCTTGTTTTTCACCAAAATGGTTTGCAATGGTTTGCTTAGCCGACAATTACGATTTAGTTGTATAATTTGTATTACTTTATTTGTTATTTGAACAGACGATACATCGATGGATACATGGCCTATCCTAACATTTGTGCGACTTCGCATATCCTTTTCCTTAGACCTATCTATAGATTTACCATATCTGCTCAATGGGCTGGGGTCACGGCTGCCACTGGAACATTTATTGGACCACAATCACGGCAATTCAGAAAGAACTAGGGGATCTTTAATACTAACATTCCATAACAGGGAGGTTGCTTTCTGGCATTTCGTTGCCAAGGGACAAGTTTTGCTATCTTCTGGGTGCCATCTGTGGCAGCCGTGGCGCTGGAGCTGCAGACCCATGCTGATGGCCATGTGTTACAAGTCTTTGTTTAATTCTTATATGATGCTGTTCAGGTGCCAAATTAATCCCATTACAACAGTGCAACATGCAACAGGTTCAACATTTTATCTATTACACTAAAGGTACAACGAGTACAATACAATTTACATTCTGAACATTACAATTAGTACCATACGAACGCAGTTAGTGTAGTCTGTCTGTGCTGTGAGTGGTCCCTGTGACCGTAGATCGTCTTGTAGACTGTCATCTGTACAGTGCATCGTTATTCATACACACATTTGCGTACATATGTATGTACATATAACTTATCTATGTAAACTATCATCAATATATTGTTTTCCTAAACTATGTAGTTTTATAGTTCTCTGGATAAGCGGTCTCCACTTCCCTCTCTCAATGCCAATTGAAATTTGTCTTTTTGTACATTACGTGCTGCTTTTAGTTTGAGTTTTTCTCTCGGGACGGGGACTTTATAGAGGGGGGCCCTTACACTCTAAACATGGTTTTGGATAATTCAGTAATCAGTTTTCAGATTTATCTACTCGTACTCGTACGTTTAATTAAATAGCACAGTTAACACACCTGTATTGAAATGTTTCACCATCGAGTTGTCCGTTTATCATTATCATTTGCAATCCAACATAGTACGACATTTATATTTATATTTTTATTTATATTATTTTCCTTTTGTTTTGGTTTTTTTGGTTTTTATTTTATATCGTTTTCGCTTGTTTATTAAAAAGAGGCACTGTTTTTAAGGCAACACTACACAGTGAAGTTATATACCAGGATTTCTATGTACATTCAAACCAAAGAAAAAGTTTTGGGAAATTCCGAAAAGTCTTTTGCAAATCATATGAAAACTCAATGCTACAACATTCTCTCGTACAACATTCAAGGAGAGTGCAATCTATGTACTCTGTGTACTAACATACACATACATGTGTATATATATATATATATACATTTTCATAATCTATGATCAATCAGAGATCATTTCATAGCAAAAGATACCATTCGCCTATTGATGAGATACGATACTTTCGCTGGTAAAAGTTTGCTTCAGTTTCGCTTCAGATCAGGGCATTTTTGTTTACGTTCACCTTTGTTTTGCTTATGCATATAGTATTTGTTATATATTGCTAGAAAATATCATCTATAGTGTTTTGGTTTTCTTTCTATATGGTAGACATATAATTTCGTACTCCTCTTCGGCTCTCATCCATAAATATACGTGTAAAGCTACTCAAATGGGGAAACCTGTAGAGTGTGTGTATGTTTGCTTATTTTTTAATGCTCATCATCTCTCATCTCATCTGGCGCTCCAACTGCCACTGTTTTTCGCATGTGCCTGCATGTGGACACAGTTGCACAGCACAGCGTGCGGACACGGAGGCGGGCCGAGTAATATCGTCTCAAATACAAATATACATAAATATTCTTTCTCTTTACGAGTACTGTTCGGTTCTGTTCTGTTCTGTTCAGTTCACTTTTCGTTTGCTGCTGTATAAAGTGCAACAGGTCATACAATATTTGCCGAGCGCGTTTACCTCTTGGTCAAATATTGGGGGAAACATCGAATCGAATCGAAATGGGGAATTGACATTGCAACAGACCCGGAGACACACCCACACCCACACTCGCATCCTCACTGGGGCCTGTGCAAACAGGGCCGCATCGCGTAAGAAAATATACAGAATGTAAATAAACATTGTCAACAGAAAGTGCAAAAAATAAACGATAATTTCTTGAATAATTTTATTTAAATTATATATTTTGTTGAGTTGTTTGTTGATGCTGTTGTAGTTGTTGTTGTAATTGTTGTTGTTTTACAAACTGCTTGTAAATGTAAAAAATACAAAACTTAGGCACGAAAACTTGAATAGAAATCCACTTTAAACGTAAATTACAAAATATGACTTCGTTTTGCTTAAGAGATGAAGAGAAAAAGAGGTCTAGCAAATAGATCAAGCTTAAATCAAAACTAAAACATAATCATCAAGTGTTTAAATCTATGTTTTATGTATGTATGTGTATTATCCTTTTTCAAAATCAATCAAATCTCTAGAAGAACGAACACTCCGCTTACACGAACAGAACTGATAATAAAACAATATAATCAAAAGAACATAATTGATAAATTGCACGAAATTCCAAGTATTAATTGAACATTGAGTACATCTCTTTCTGTGTCTATGGTTTTTTGTGGGTGTGTGTGTGTGTGTGTGTATCCATTCTCAATAATTAATCTGATAGTGCGACTTGCATGCTTACGTATCTTGTAATGGGTTTACAAACTATGTTTAAAACTTATGCTAAATCAAGTATTTACAGCAAATATTTCCTCCGCTTCTCGTCTCATCTCGCTTTCGCTTTGTTTTTTGTATGCAGCATTTGTCCTAAGATTAGATTTAACATTAACTTTAACCATAGTTGTAACTGTAGTTGTAATTGTAACTAAACTAAATCAGCTCCAACACTCCAAACAACTTATTTCCGAGGCTCTGGGCCTACGCTGGGCTCCAACCAACATCATAAATCCATTCCACCATGGGATACGGATTGGCATTGGGATCGAGCCCTAATTTCACATTTATAATTTAAAATTATAACTATTACCGTAGGTGTGTGTGTGTGTGTGTGTGGGTGTATTTAACTTACAATAATTATAGATATGACACTGTCACTGTTCGCTTAAACCGAAAACAAAACAAAGCTCCTATCTCTTCCACAATTTCCAGTTTAATTTTCTCTGAACTATTGCACTGTTGTTGCAACTATTGTTGCTGCTGCTGCTGCTGCTGCTGCTCCTTCTCCTTCCCCTCCTCCTGCTATTGGTGTTGCTGCGTTCCATAGGCCACCGCCAGCTGCTGTTGGCCATAGCAGTCATAGCCAGAACCAGCCATGCTGAACGAACTCCGGACGGTAGCCACATCCTTACGCGGCGGCGGCGGCATCATGGCCAGATCGTCGATGTCGCTGATGTTGGGGTGGACCTCTTGCTTCTTGTGGCTTCCTCCGCCGCCGCCGCCGCCGGTTCCGTTACTGTTGTGTTGCTGCTTGTAGTGGCTGCTGCTATCGCCTGCACGTGCCGGCTATGTACCCCATCCACCCGATATTCTGGGACGTTTGTGGTTGGGTGCATCGTAGTCCCCCAGCTGCTGCTGTTGTTGCTGGTGTTGCTGGTGCTGTTGTTGCTGTTGCTGTTGGTGCTGCTGCTGCTGCTGCACTGCGACGGCGGCCAGACGCACATCCTGCTCGCTGCTGGGCGCACCTGCGTTTAAGATGATAAAGTCTGTTAAACTATTAGTTCGATTTGCTCAAAGGTCGTGTGTGTATGACAAAGGCAGAGGGCAGGCCATCAGGCGTTCAGGCGTTTAGGCGTTTAGGCGTTTAGGCGGGCAGGTTTTCAGGCAGATCTGGGTCGGGTCCGGGGATGGGGCCGGGGATGGGGCCGGGCCCCCGTAATGAGTGTGGTGTGTGACTGTGTGTGACAGTGTGCGTGTTTTGAGTGAGTGTTTTCTGGTTAGCAGGAAATCGCATCAGTTGTTAATAAAAAGTAAAATTAAAACAAAAGCCAGGCAAAAGATGTTTTTAATTTCTTTAGAATATCGCTTAATCCCCCCTTAGGACAAAAGTCAAAAACTGAAGGAAGGAAATAAACTCAAGATGAAAACTCTCCCGTCCCCGAAGAAACAGAAATCCCTTTTTTGTTTTTGTACAACAATTTTGCTAGATATTTGTTTTTCTGTATGTATATGTAGAATTATGTACATATGTATGTGTGTGTGTTGCATGTATTCGATATTGTGTATGTATGTATGTATGTATTTTGTGTGTATGTGTGCGTGTGTGTGTTTCTTTATTTTTTAGGCCAATTTACCGGCAGAATTCCATCTAGGATTGTGGCCCATTAGCAGGCGGTACTGATATCCTTCATACTTATCATGCCCTAAAAATATTATCACACAATTGTTGTTGTTGTTGTGGTTAATGCGAATATAAAAAACAAACAAAGGTATTATGTAGATATTATAACAATAACAATAACAATATTAAGATAAACGCACTCAATACGATTCTTCAGAATTTCTTAATAGAGAACCCAATGCGTATGCGTAACACAGATATCTGGTATGAATATTAAGTATACGCACTGCACCGTCTGGTGTGTCAGTAAAAAGAGTTACATTTTAGCATTTAGCATTAGAAAACATGCCGCGAACAAAACAATTTCGAGCACACTTTTTTCAAGTCTAAAGAATTTGTTTAACAAAACTGCAGAAACGTTCAAGCGAAAATACTTTTCAGTACAAGTGGCCAAAAGGGAGACAGCGCGCGGGGGTCAGGATGGGGTTTCGGGGGCCTCAGAAACGTACCTGGTGTGGGCGTTAGGTGACCGGTCGACGACGGCCTCGAGTTGGGCATGACCAGGTGCTGCTGCGAGTGGCCCAGGACGCTCAGATTGGTGGCCTGCTCCGCGTTCCCGTTGCTACCGCCACCGCCTCCTCCTGGGGGACCACCGCCTCCCAGGATACTGGCGTTGTTCAAGTGCGTGATGACATTGCCGGCATTGGCGGCAGAGGAGCCTGCTCCCCCGCCGCCGGCCGAGGCATTGCTGCTCGTGCTGCTGCTGGAGCCGCCGCTGCCCGTCGATCCGTTGCTGTTCTGCTGATGGCCGCTGGCGGAGAGATCACGCGGCGGCGACTGCGGCTCGGCCTTGACCTTAATGGAGACGGGTGAGGTGGCGGGCGGCGGTGTGCTATTCGAGACTGCCAGGTGCGAGAGACTGCTCGAGAGAGATAGATCGAGAGAGAGAGGGATTACGGAGAGAAATTGAGCATGCTATCCGGGAATTCCTTGAGTGGTTAAGCGGCTCTCACCTAGAGTGCTGCACCAGACCCTGGTGCCATGTGGGCAGGCTCATGATATCCGCACTGCCGATGACGCCGGAGGAAGAGAAGTCCTGCGCCCCGAAGGAGTAGCTCGTGAGGGCGGGTATCGGAGTCTGCAGCGTCACCACGGGCGTGTTTAGTGATGTTTGGCTCTGTCGTTGCTGGAAAGGAGAGCACGGAGGGATCTTAATTGAGGGGCTCCTGGTGCTATCTCGATCGTGTTCGTCCTCTACTCACATCTGTATAGGCCACATCCTCGGGCGCAGACATGTTGGGCGGTATGGTGGCTATGGTGGGCGGTATGACCACCCGTAGGTTGGCAGCCCGTCCATTCTGGCTGCCCGGCGACTGCTGTTTGATGGGCAAGTGATGGGCTGTAAGGGATGCATTGGAAGGGTTAATCTTACGCCGCACAGAATGGAGTCGGGGGACTGGGCGATCTTTGGGCAGATGGGCAGATGGGTAGTAGGGGAGTAGGGGCGTTATGGAGGGGCTCGTAATGATCGTAATGCGCACCTATGCCAGGACTGGGGCCTGGACTGGGCGATCCCACAAGCGGCGAATGGGAATGCGGATAGCCGTTCGACATCTCCAGCATGGAACCCGATGGATATACTGATGGCACCAATCGATAAGAAGATAAGAAAATGCACAGATACGTTTAGACCTTAGATCGAAGCACTATATATGTATGTATATTGGAATTGTTGAACTCTGGTGTTAGATTCATGGCGGGTGAGTCGAGGGAAATCAAAAACAAACAAAAATAAGCACAAAACACATTCTCTGTTAGAAGTTTTTTAGGGTGGGGGCGGGGGGCAGTGGGAAATCATGCAAAAGAATAAAATAAAACGAAAAATCGAACGAGAACGATAACGATAACGATAACAATAACAACTGATAGATAGAAAAATGTGTGTGCACCCTTCTGCCAGAGACACTGTACTAACTTATCAAGGACATCCCACCTGAATCCGTCTCCGAGCTGGATGGACGGGGGCTGATGTTGGTGTGGGACATTTGTGGGCTGGCCTGCAGCAGGTTCTCACCGTAGGAGCCCGGCACTGGCACCGACACGGGCAACGTGTAGCTGCTGTTCGGGAGCTGCCGCGGCGCCCCGGTCACTCCGATGGCCATCTGGTTGCGCTGCATCATGTTCTGGAACTCCTCGTCGATCTTGTTGTACTTGGCCTCTGTTCGTGGTGTTAGCGTGTAGTCTGTCTCGGCCTCGGGCGAGTCCGGGGACATGACGCCGTTCTTGTTCTCCTTCTGTTTTCAGAAAGAGACGGCGAGAGAATGTGTAAAGAGAGTGATTAAGTGCAAGGAAAATGGATGTCTGGTAGGGCCTTTTCTGTTTGGCTGAGAGGCTGAGGGCACCTAGCTTTCATAAGCCTTGCCAGCAGTGTTCCATTTGAACCCTGCTCTGCCTCTGGCTCTGCTTCCTTTCCTTGAGCTGCTCTTTTGGGGTCTCAAGTGGAAGCACTCGTGTCGCTCTCTCTCTCTCTCAATTAGCTAAGCTCCACTCTGCGAGCCCTTACCTCAATGATGTTCTTGTTGGTCAGCGACTCGTGCGGCTCGTTGTATTCCGTGTACTTGAGGAGCACCCTGTCCATGTCCGTGCTGGCGTATTGGTAGAGCTTGTTGCTGGACGAGAAGATGATCAGCGCTATCTCGCAGTCGCAGAGCACCGACAGCTCGTAGGCCTTCTTCATGACGCCGAACTTCCGCTTGTTGAAGGTCACCTGGAAACGCAGGAGGAATCGTGTGTCAATTACCGTTGCTCTGCTCAAATATTTATGCGCCTCGAATGTAATTAGACGCACAAGTGGCCGCGGCCCCAGGCCTTCTAGGCCCCAGCTCTCTCCCTCTAGCCCCTTTTTTGTGAGGCGTGGCGAGGCCGAGGGCTTGTGAATGAATCGATTATGGCGCCGAGTCAAGGTTACACTGATGGCCCGTACAATAAACAAGTTGTTGGGGTTTTACCGTAACCCCACCCCGCCGCACGTCCAACTGTTGTTCCGATGACGCGTTTAGGGCCTGGCTGAGACGGCGACATCAGCTGGACTGAAAGCAGCACGGAAAACCCTCTCACTCGCTCGACACACGCAGCAGTCGCGGTTGTGCGAGGGAGATGGCCTAGTATGAACTAGTTCCAAATGGATTTCAGTGCCAAGGACATGCCACTATTGCTATTACTGAAATCATTAATCCTGATGGAGTTCCAACCTCAGATTGAATATATTTTTAGTTGTGGCCGCAACTAGTTCTCTTAAAATGAACCGAATAATATGAAAAACTTGTCAAAAGCGAATAATAATTGATATTTAAGGAGGAAAGTTTGTAAGTTTGTAAGGAAAAAACTCGCAGGCAACATGGTTTAAGTTGTAAATCCCTCTTACATCTCAATTTATATGGAATTATATTACTCAAAACGGAAATTGCCACCTAATAAGAGCCACGGAGCATCTCGAAAGGTGTACGATTTCCGTTTAATTGCCGTAAATCGATTCGATTCTCTCCTGTCTCTCCATTCTTGGCCATTAATTAATAAAGTTTTCTATTACATTTGATGGGCGGGCGGGCTTGCCATGGATTGCCATGGCAAAGAACCAATTGGCAATCTGTCTGGCTGCAGTGCCAAATGAGCAGGCAGCACACAATTGTTGCTCACTGTGGAATTATTAGTAGGGGGAGTAATGGGGGACTCACCTGCCGATTGCGTTCATCGGTGATGCGTGATATCTGGATTTTTTTGCGACCCATGGCAACGGTTTTCCTATCCTATCCTCTTGTCGCTCCTCCGATTATTAGGATAATGATGATGGCGGATGGTGGCTGGTGGCTGGTGTCTCCCCAGTGTGTTCCGTTAGGCGAATCCTTGGTTTCGTTCCCCTCTTTTCTGGTGTCAGGTAAATTCTCGTTAATTATTCTTTAGGTTCCACTTCTTTGCGTAGCTGTTGCTGTTGCTGTTGTTGCTGTTGCTGTTGTGGCAGACTTGGGGCATATTTAACATGTATTGTATCCACACATATGTATATTATCCTGCATATGTATAGGGGGGTTCCCTACTTGTTTTCCTTGTTATTGTTGTATAAGTGGACGGTTTGTCAAAACGGCACAATCTTCTTGTATATATATATATATATTTATGTGGTCTATATATTTTTATATAATTACGTTTCCCTATAAATTGTTTTCAGGTAGCTGCAAAGAGAGAGAGAGAGAAAAGACACAATGAATGACCGAAGACTGAAAGAGTGATGGGTGGCAGGGGTCGTAGGGGTCGTAGGGAGGTCTGATTGTGTAATTAACCCATGGCTGACCCGTTTAACCCATTTACACTTAGATGGCGACTTCAAAAAGGTTTCCAGCTGGTCTACAGCCAGCGGACATCGAGGAGGGGGCACAGATGGGATCCTCGCTCCACTGGCGTTGAAAGTTCAATGCACTGCTCTAATGGGAGGGGAAGATGTGCTCCCTTCTCATTCCCTCCTGCACTCCCCCCCTGCCACTCAACCTCAAGGTTGACCTATTTCATCAGCTGGGCTTCAGTTAATTGACTGGCCGCATCCACATCCACATCCCACGCATGATTAGATTCGCGATTGCTCCTGCTCCCCACTCGCTGGGAGGGCGTACCACTTTGATGTCCTTCGAGCGCACAGGACACAGCACATTAGGTGAAGCAGCACTAGGGAAGCTTCAGTTTCACTTTTCAACTGTTTTTTAAAGCGCCAACGGATGCGTCGCCTCAAATCGTGTCTGCCTTTGGGGGCACTCGAAACACCAAACACTCCTCCAGCAAGAGCCGGAAGTGGAAGGAAGTGGAAGGAAGCTGGGGCCACCATCAACAACACTCGACCCCTGTCTCTGCTTTTGGGGGCCTGTAGCTATGACAGTGGCACGTGGCTGCCAAGCGCAAGGCGATGCCTCCCCGCTTGAGGCACTTCTTCGGGGCAACAACGGAGCCAGAGACGGCGAGAGAGCACACGGAAATCGAGGCGGATAAATTTCACTTGCCTCCGTCGTTGCTGTTGCTGTTGCTGTTTGCTGCTGTCCTGCCCTGGCAACCGAAAGGAAAACGGGGAGGGGAAAGGGACTGGCACCACTTTGCTTTGGTTTGGGGTCCTCGCAGCGAGCCTGGAAAAGCAACAGCAACAGCAACAGCACCAACGATGGCTACGACCTACGCAATATGTTTCGGAGAGAACTCCAGAATGGGAATGGGAATGGGAATGGGAATGGGAATGCGAATGGCATTGGGAAGGCGAGTTGGGGTGGGAGCTGGTGGGGAGCTCTGAGCTTTTAGCCTTGACGAACACAGAGACCGAAAAGAGGGGTGCAGGAGGCAGGACACACTCAACAAATTCGATACACAGTCCTTGTCCTTGTCCCCCCGCTCCTGATTATGCGTGAGTTTTGTGTTTCTGGTGGCTCGAACATTCATTATTGATATGGAAAGTGGAAAAAAGGAACGACAAAACGCCAAGAAAAACCTGAATCAAATCGAGAGTGTAACGAAGAGCGAGAGACGGCATATATATTGGGAAATGTGAATCGATAATGATAGTGATGACGCGACAAGTTTGATGCCCGATGCCCAAAAGGTCCCAGGAAAATGGCTACGGATCCAATAATAATCCACTCTTTTTCGATTTTGGAAAATCCCAATTTGTCGCCTTGTTTATCTTTGGGCCAAGCGTTTTGGCCCATAATTAAGGGACACCCAATCCGCTTAGGCTTACTCACTCTTCGAGTGACACACAGTCCCAGTCGAGAGTTCCTTTCGCTAAATCATATTTTATTTACTGTTGTTCGTTGAATGCTAACCTCAAACAGCGCCGATAAGCGGTACGAATCGGTTGGGTAGGGTAGGAAGTGCGTCAGTTCGTGGGGGAATCATGAATAATTCAAGGAATATCCCCAAGGAGAAAGGCAAAGGAAAGGCAAAGAAAGGGTATGGTATGGTAGGCATGGAGTGGGGAATATCTGTGTCATGTGTCGCTTATGTGGCTTATCACCTCTCCCCTGCACTCCACTCCACTCCACTTCGTTCCACTCTACTCTACTCAAGTGAGTCAATTAGTTGAAAGCGAAAACACTAATCCCAGGGCATATGTCAGTCCCAGTCTCAGTCTCAGCATCTGTGCATCGAATGCACATCATCCAAGGAGGGGCAGGAGGCACAGACAGCGCCGCCAACCAACAGGATATCAATTGCTGGTATTGCACATGCCACAAATTTGTAGCATACTTATCAGCGCCGGCAATTGAGTCAAGAATTGAGTTCCCCGCAGAAAAGATTGTGGCCTGTAGATTCTCGATTGCAGGCACTGCAAACCCAACTAAACAAAGGTCTCCGAACAAAGTTGAGCTGTAGGTTAAATAAAAGTTGAAACTCAAGCAGAGTTAGGGGAAAACTCTTTTCCAGTTATGCAACCCACTGGCATGCATTCCCCTGTGTGTACGTAAAGTAACGAAAGGGTCAAAGGGTCAGTTACGTACTTGTGACATGTGCCACAGCGAAAGAAAAAGGAAAGTTCTGCCGAAGACCCAGAAAGTACATAAGAAGGAACATATATATGCCTGATCTTTGGCTACAGCTTCAGATCTGAATCTCAACCACTCCGTGCAGCATTCTCCATTCTCCAGAAGGAGCCTAAAGACCCTCAAGGCCTTTGTTTTTTCTTTGTGTGTTTTCTGCATTCAGAAAGAGCGGGGAAAACCCCCCAGAACCACCAATATCTAATCACATTGAAGAATTGTTGCTCTTTTTCGCCATAAATTATTAGAAAATGTTCACGTCACGCTGCACTCACGAGCATAGGGGCGGTGGGGGGTGGGGGGGATACATATTATATGTGTGGATAAGCGACTCGTCAAGTGGTGGCAGGTGCCGCTGCTGCTGCCACAGCAAAATATTTGACTAATTGCAAGCAAAGAACGAGAGAGGGCTAATCAGAGCGCAATGGAATGGAATGGAATGGAAACAAAAGGGAAATGGAAATGGAAATGGTTGTGCCCCAGAGGCTGAAAGAACTTAACACGGTTTTCATTGCAACAATTAACCAAAGGAATCGCCTCTCCCTCCCCCGCTCTCTCTCCCTTTCTCTCTGTGTGGGTCAGCACTTGAGTGGTAGGAAGGAAGGAAGGATGTGCTCCTCTATGTGTGTTTCATTGGATGCAGATGTGTGTCAAGACATTTGTCTTCTTGCGGCATGGGGCAATTAAGCAACGTAGCAACGACTGCCGACTGCCACACATTTCTCCATTTAATTGGCCGCAGCACCCCCAACCCCCCCAAAAGTGTGAGGTGGCAACGACGACATCATTAGGCAAATGGCCAAAATACACACACACACAAACAAGCACATAGTACTTCAAAAGCACCTTCGTTATTCTCAATAAGTGAAATATCAGAGGGAGAACAGGGAAACAGAGCTGAGATCTCTCCTCAATCGGGAGGGGGAGGGCACCCTGTAGCACCTATAACACCTCTGGTGCTGCTCTCCGTTGGAACAAACGATTTTGGCAGCAAGGCATCCCCGTTTCGTGATTTGATTTCGCCAAATGAATCACTTTCTGTGGCTTTTCCTTTGATGAAATGAACGCATTAACGCCGCCAAAACTTGTTGCCAGCTTTGATTGCTCCCTCAATTAGCATTTGTTGTAAATAAATTTATGCAAATGTTAAACTTTTTCCGTATTTTGGATGAATGAACTCCCGCCGAAAAACCAGTCGCGGGACTGCAATGAGATCAGATCACCCGCGGGTGGAATGCAACGCCTGGGAGTCTGGCAGAGAGAGAGAGAGAGAGAGAGAGTGAGTGAGAGACCTTTCATAAATTTGATTTTTATGGCAGCGGCTGCGACCAAATTTCAAGTTTAAAAAACTCCACACGAGAGCCAAAGTATTTATCACTCACGTTAATAATTATATAAATTATGAAGCTTTATATGTTGGATTTTCATTGGAATATATCCCATTTGTTGTTTCGATTGTACGGGATAGAACTTTTGCTTTTTCTGAAGCTCTTTTTGGATACTTTCACTTATCGGACGGGGGCTCTCCTCGTGGGGGATTCTCTGGTGCGGCTATAAATCTTGACTTAATTAAAGACACGCGCGCGCGCTTTAAAACGCGACGAAAACGCGTCATTTGAGGCGGCCACTGAGGCGGAACTGTGGCCAAACTGGGGGGAAAAACAGTTTGGTAAACTATAAATTACTGTGTGAACATCGCTATAATGAAGAATTGAGTGCCCTTTATTACCAGGGGAATGCTGGATGGCCACAAAACGCTGGAAATTGAAAGGATGTGGCGTTCCATGGATACATTCTACATTCTACTACCTGTAATACCCATAATAGACTGCTGGAATCGTTAAAGAAAGGAGTAAAACAGATTCTCTTGTGTTTGCACAATTTTCGCACACGATTTTTGATTTCCGATGTTGCAGACGCAACATGGAGAAGCATGTCAAAATTTCAAGGTTCTTTTCTGGACAAAAACCAAAAACAAAAGAAAAACACACACACACACGAGCACACGCCTCGCTGGGCGTCTCAATCTACCATGTTAAGGTAGTCGACGGGCGGGGAGCACACGTTTGAGTCGGCTCTCTCTATCTTATCGCCGAACGCACACTTAAACTGGTGGTAGGGGGGAGGGGGAGGGTAGAGAGGGGTGCTAGAGGAGTGTGCAAGGCAGAGAGCAAAACAAAAAACACTAATAATAATAATAATAATTATTATTATATAAAACCAGCAATAAAATCATAATTACCACAGACAACACACTCCACAGATAGAGAAAGAGAGAGAGGGAGAGTATAGAATAGATGGAGACACACTCACACGCGCCAAAAGTAATATTTATATTTTTAATAACTACACTAACACACACACACACGCACCGAAGCACACCTACACCTAAAAGTGATAAGAAACACTTTCGCTTTTGTTTTTCTTTTTTTTTTTTGGTTTTTCGCTCCCAGATAGTACGAATTTTGATTGCGAACTTTTGTTGTTATTCTCTTATCAACAAACAACAAAAATTTCACTCCACTATTCTCAAAGCCTGAACAAGATTTGCCAAAAAAGAAAAAAAGAAAGAACACAGAAGAAAGAAGACAGTAGAAGAAATAATTCAACTAAATTGTTGATAAGAATTATTATTATTCCTTTTGTGTGCTCTTCTTGTG